AATCAATAAAATTATTTTTTTAAACTAAGGACAAAGAGCAAATAAAAGCAAGAATCTCTGAACACCCCTTAGGTCATGACTAAGACAGACTGGTTGAGACCAAGCTCATACAATCCAAAAGGAAAAGTGGCTCATTTCCCAAGTTTTAGATGACACAGACAGGAAAAGAAAGAGGCTTCAATGACCTTTTCAAAAGAAAAAAAGAAAAAAAATAGGCCAACAAGCCAGTTTTGAAATTCCAGATGCTCTCAAATGCTATTTCTCCAGGTAACCTTTTCCATATGCCACTTCTGTTCTTATAATCTGAACTTTGCCTGATTTATCAGTCTTTTCCACTCTGGAGAAAATGACACAAATGTATATTTACAACGATCTCTTTAAAAATATCTACCTAGAAATTCAGCCTGCTATTTTTCCTTTTGAATTGGCAACCCAGTTCATTTAGATTCACAATGATGGATCTAATGATGAGAGGAGAATCACTCACTACTCTCCAGCCAGGAGGCAAGAAGCATGGGGAGGGCTTTCTTGAGCAATTTCCCCTTGCCAACTCCACTTAGCCGTGGACTGCCACACACTCTATTCCTTCTCTAAGCCACATTACAGAGGCCCGTAGTTGACTCCTGTCCAATGAGGGTCAGGGCCATGTCTACCCAAACATGCTTCAGCACATTGTTCTTATTGCTAGCCCACAATTCGGTTACATAGCTAAAAAATATATGAGTGAGGAGAAAGGGTTAGTAGTGTGAAGGGATAATGGTAATGACTTGAAGGTTAAAAACACTGCTAAACTAGGTGTGAACAAGAAAACAGAGAGATTAGGGGTGGCAGACTGTAGGACTTTAGTTCTACATACTCCACTTGCTTCATAGCATGTGCATTTGGGTATGTATCACTTTTCAATATAGTAGAATCATTCTATTAACCAATCAATAAAAATACAACAAATGATATGTATATATACATACACAATACATTTTTACTGACCAATAGATTGATTGATTCTATAATATTGCAAAGCTATTGCTATTGTCTTGCCTCAATTAGTCCCTGATATTGTAGGTCTTTATTTTGTTTTTAGTTTTCAGCAGAATTAGAAAATAGCTATCCATTAGCATTTATACAGCATCCTTTATAAGAGAAAGGGGCAGATTTTATATTTTACAGTGATTATGGCCCAAAATCCACAATATTACAAGTTAACTGGAACAACCGGGAAATTCATTTTTGATGATATAATTTAAAAAATATGGATTGAAAGGCCAACCTTTCTGTTTTGTTTTACATAAATAGCATAGGCTACTTAGCTATTTTTCTTTTCTTCCTACTTGAAGAAAGCCCAGAATGAAGCCTAGCGTTGAACTGGCAGTGAGTGGAAAGAAGACAGGGATTGTGGGTGCAGGTGAAGTTTTGTCATCTAGGTGAGGAGAGTAACAGCCCTGTGATCACTCTTCTTTCGCCATTATTGCTTGCTTACTCTACAGCCAACCAGATAGGTGAGTGTGAGTAATACTTCCCAGAAATGTACTAATAATTTTCTTTATCTTGTTAAACATTATTACAACATTTTCCCGGTCAGTGGTTGAGCACTGACCTATGAACCAGGAGGTCATGGTATGATTCCTGGAATGCAGGCTCAATCCCCAGTAGGGGGTGTGCAGGAGCTATCCAGCAATGATTCTCTCTCATCATTGATGTTTCTATCTCTCTTTCCCTCTCCCTTCCTCTCTGTGAGAAATAAAAAATACATATTTTTAAAAAAAACATTATTATAACATTAAAGGAAAAACCATCTTTGATAGAACCATTTTCCATTCTTGTTCCCTTTCAGTCTCTGGTCATGTGCATGGAGCTATATTTTACATGACTATATCCTTGTACATGCAATTTTGTGTTCTAATCTGTTAATTTATTTTTCAAAAAATATTTTCATATTTCCATTTATTAATTTACTTTAATCATCAAGCCTTTATTAAGGTATGTATTAGGTTTTAGGCACTATTTCAGGAACCGCGAATGTAAAGATAGATAAAATAGTTATGTGAATTGTTATATTATCCCTGTTGTTAAAAAGCTAGCAAGTTAGCAGAATATACCAGGTAATTATAATCCACAATATTGCCATAAATATAGATTTAAATGCCTCTGTGTTTGCCATCTTAATGGCTTCACAATCTCTTAGCAGGATAATATAACAATTCACATAACTACTCACTTTCTTGATTATTTTTCATTATCACGTGTACTGCTGCAAAGAACATATTTCACTTTTCTTTCTGTTAACCATTTTCTGTGGATAAATTCCTTAGAGTAAGATTACTGGGTCAATGTGTATTAATTCAGATTTTTATTGCTCTTGACATATAATACCTTGCTCAGTAGCTTCATAAATATATACAAAGTCACCACTTCTAAGCATTGCCAACATTTTACCACCAAATATTTTAAATATTTTCTTAGAATTTTCAAAAGCAGGGACCCATGATTGAGTTCATTTGTATTTATTTAATTAATAGCAGGGTGGAACATTTTCTCATCGTTAGGATTTTTATGTCACCATGGGGTTTTTGTGTTTATGGAAGATTTACCTATCATTTATCACTGTTATAGCAGCTTCCTAATATATTTTCAGATGGTACAAATAAACTTTTCAACCTAATTTATTGCAAAATTTTCCGTTTGTTCTCTTTGTTTAGCTAAATTCACTTCAAATCGTACCAAAAATTTAACTCTTTTTTTTTTAATTAGTCACACTGTTGTTGGTTTGTTCCCTCTGGAATTTCTCCCATGGCTTCAGTCTTAAGAAATCTGTCTTTCTACCATTGGCATAAATAGTCTACTCTGTTGCCCATTTTTCACTCATTCAACTTTCAACAAATCTCCTTATGTGTCCTTCTTGGCACCGTGGATAAAAAATTATGAATGAATGACAATTTATTATTATCCTAAACTTGGAAATAGGCAAAGGGGTTACTGCATGTCTTCCAAGTGCCACACAGGGAACCCTATTAACTAATTATCCAGGGATACGGATCTTGTTTGACATACTATGTACTTTGCATGAGGTTAGTTTACAACTGTTAGTGGGGGATGTTAACTGGTAGAAAAATGAAAGCAATGCAAATGATTCTTGTCACATGGCAATGAAAATAGATTTTGACCAGCGGAGGTGTAAGTGATTTATCCCCTAAAATTTTTTTACTGACCAATAGATTGATTGATTGATTCTATAGTCTGAAAATTTTTACTGATCATATAGATTGATTTTGACCTCAGAGGTTACAGCTTTAACTGTAGGACACTATGTAGTTTTGCATCTTACTTAGCAATTTTAAGAATTTTCTTTCAGTGATTATAAATACTTTGCTCTTTCACAATTCTTTTTGAATCAGCCTTACCATCTTACAGATCCCCTCATTAGTGAGTTAAATAAAGCTTTGACACATGCTCACCTTATGTTTGTATTTGAGTCAGGAAATCTGGCTGCTAGCATCAGCCCTACCCACATCATAGTTCATTTAATATCCTCCTTGACTTCTAGCTTCCTTTTTTTGTAAATCGTGGGTTTCTGTAAAGTCCAATGGCATTCAGGAAACCAAAGCAATCAGAAAACTGTATTTCTATATACAGATAACATGCATTGAATCAGAATGAATGATCAGGTTCTGAGTCCAAAGTCCAGATCCTCAACAGGGAGTCTGAGAAGCCTGTGCCACTATCTGATGGGCCACTTCACCAGCAAGGCTGTCTTTGAGTAGCCAGGACCAAACAGGAACAAAGAAACAGTGCAGCTGGGACCGGTTTGGCTCAATGGATAGAGCGTCGGCTTGGGGACTGAAAGGTCCAGGTTCGATTCCGGTCAAGGCCATGTACCTTGGTTGCGGGCATATCCCCAGTGGGGGGTGTGCAAGAGGCAGCTGATCGATGACTCTCTCTCATCGATGTTTCTAACTCTCTATCTCTCTCCTTTCCTCTCTGTATAAAATCAATAAAATATATTTTTTTAAAAAGGAAAGAAACAGTGCAGTGGGAAGAACAAGGTCTCCAGCCAAGTGGACCTGGCTTCAACCCTCAGCCCTGCCTCTTCTAGAGTTTTTTGAGCTTCATTCTTCATTTGCAAAAGAAAATGGACCCAATGGGTGTTACTCAGTGGTTGAACGTCAACCTTTGAACCAGGAGGTCACAGTTCCATTCCCTGTCAGAGCACGTGCCCGGGGTTGCGGACTTGATCTCCAATGTGGGGCGTGCAGGAGGTAGCCAATCAAGGATTCTCTCTCATCATTGATGTTTCTATCTCTCTCTCCCTCTCCCTTCCTCTCTGAAATCAATAAAACTATTTATTAAAAAAGAAAAGAAAATGCTTGTGATAAGCCAACAGGGCAGTGTGTAGCCCTAGCCGGTTCGGCTCAGTGGATAGAGCATCAGCCTGTGGACTGAAAGGTCCCTGAGGTTCAATTCCTGGTCAGGGCACATACCCAGATTGTTGGCTCAATCCCCAGTAGGGGGCATGCAGGAGGCAGCCAATCAATGATTTTCTCTCATCACTGTTTTTTTTTAAATTCTTTTTAAAATACATATATATATTTTATTGATTTTTTTACTGAGAGGAAGGGAGAAAGATAAAAAGTCAGAAACATCATTGAGAGAGAAACATCGATCAGCCACCTCCTGCACACCCCCCACTGGGGATGTGCCCACAACCAAGGTACGTGCCCTTGACCAGAATCGAACCCGGGACCCTTGAGTCTGCAAGCTGATGCTCTATCCACTGAGCCAAACCAGTTTTGGCAAGATAATGGTTTTAAATGGCTCCACAGCTGACCCCAGCAGGATTGGTAGCATCCATCTCTGAGAAACCTTTTCCTCTGAGAAGAAACTAAACTAGATTACATCTAAGGTCCCTCTGAGCTTTAACATCCACCACAGAAAGGCCAGCCAGCCATGAGTTGGTTCTGACAACCCGTTCGAAACTACCACGCCTGCCTGCCTGGCACACTTACCTCTCCTACCACCTCTATGATGTCACCAACTTTCAGCTCCAGCTCGTCATCATTCTGGGGCAGGTAGCTGAACGCCACCTGGCACCGGCGCCTCCGACGCTCACCTAAATGGGAAAAGCAAAATATTTAGATAGAGCACTTGTCTCGAAATGAGATTTGAAGGAGAGGCTTCCTAGGCATGCAGGCAAATTAAGCTGACTTGTCTCAAATATGCTCTCTGGGACATGGCTAGAGGCACGGCAGCCCTGTTCTCTCAGAGAGAGGCAGTAGAAAGCAGAGCAATGCTTCTCGGTCTTTTAAAAGCTGCTGGGTCAGAAAGGCATGGACATGAGAAACCAATCCGTTGGTGCAAAAGGAAAAACCCCACCCCGAAGCGCTGGAGCACAGTGTTGCCTTAAACGGTTTTCCAGGGATGGGGCTTTGTATTTGCTGCTGTTGATTTTCAATGAAAGCTGATGTGATGTCGTAGAATATTATAAAAAAGAATGGTCTGCTTCTAATGCTAGCAAGGCAGAGGAAATTTTTCCCCAATGTGCAAAGGAAAAGATAAAGTAGCCTGGCCTTTTTCTCACTAATCATCACCCTTTCAACATGCTGGAACTCAGGCCTGATAAGCAGGGGCTAATTAGATTTCAGGCTGCTCTTGGTGCCATTTCAAACGCCCCCAGGGGTTCAACAAATCTACTTCTGTCCTCTTCCCTGTGTTCCCAGAGGATCCATTAACAGGATCCCTGGATGCTTACATAGAACCATCGGCAGGCAAATCAAGATAAAAGCCAGGCCCACACTTCACTTTACCAGAAGACACTCAAGGTTATAGCATCTCACTCACCCAATGGGGCCCCACTGGGAGGCCCTCCCTGATTGAGAGCTCTTTCAAGTACAGACACAACTATCCACACCACAGATATGCATTGTGGGGAGAAAAAAAATCATGCATGTGGTATGTGTGATAGGTAGGGGCGTCAGGGAGACAGAGAGACAGACAGCAGTGGGGGCCCAAGCTGGGCACAGGTGACTGGGAGAGAGGAACTGAGACCAGCATTGCTCAGAAGTTTGTCTCTTAAAGCTAACCACCTCACATCATTCCTTCCTGCCACCACATGGCCTAGAAAACCAAAGGGATCATCAACTTCAAGGAAACATCTAGAAATGCTTACATTATTTTTGGACACTGTCCACAGGAACTCTTTTTCTTTTCTAATCTTCTCCCCGAGAAAGCAAATCCCTATAGGGGTGATCATAGGCCATACTAAGGGCCCCACACAGAACATCATACAAAAGGGAAGGTCTGTGCTACATCTGATATGCTCACTGATCAATATTTTTCAAAAGCCACTGGCCTAGTTCTTTCTGTTCCATTTTTCTCTGCCTGAACCTCACTAAGAAGGAAGAACAGAGTGGAACAGAGGGAAGAGGGCAGAAGTTCAGAATCAATATCTTGTCTAATCACATCTTTGGCAACTACAAAAATATACTCCACCCCTTGTACAACATTGCAAGCTGTCTGATCTTGATGAGAACAAACGCTGATTTGTTCAGGCCAGTTTCCAGGTGCTAACAGCATTGTCAGCAGGCGGAGTAGGCTCTCCTATGGACAGAGGACCCACCGCAACTGGCTTTTCCACAGGCAGCAAGTCAGAAAGTGTGGTACTCTGGTGCAAAGAACTCCACCACTATTCCATGGTTTCCAACACAACAGATGACCTATCAAGCACCATGCATCATAAAGGATACAGAGTTCTCATTCTAGCTAAGAAAGTCTAGATGACAAAGTGATCCTGACACCCATAACCTGGACCTGGTGACTCTTGTACTCCCTTAAAGATGAATTTCTAGTGTAAATCTTTAAGAGGTTTATTTGCTAGATATTACGTTAAAAGAAAACTCTGTAGATAAAAAATCTGAATACAAAAAAACAAAAACAAACAACAACAAAAAACACCCAAACATGACAAATGTCTGGAACCCAACTCTCATAACCATAGAAGTCACCAAATTCCTGACTGAACTGACTTAAAATAACATCTAAAGACCTACTGTTAGCTGAACTCACAAAACTTACAGTTGTATGCAAATTCAATATTCACAAAAACCTCTGTAAAAAGTAGCATCTAACCCAATGGCAAAAGAGAGAGTGATATTTTTAAAAAATATATTTTATTGATTTTTTACAGAAGGAAGGGAGAGGGATAGAGAGCTAGGAATATTGATGAGAGAGAAACATTGACCAGCTGTCTTCTGCACACTCCCACAGGGGATGTGCCTGCAACCAATGTACATGCCCTTGACCTGAATCAAACCTGGGACCCTTCAGTCCGCAGGCAGATGCTCTATCCACTGAGCCAAACCGGTTTAGGCAAGAGAGTGATATATTCTTCAAGAAAAGACTAAGCTAGTAGATTCCAGACCTGGAAAAAAATAATCAGATTTCTCTAGAACCAAATCTTTGCGTCAGACTTCTATAAAGCTTTGTTTGGTATTAGAAAGAATCATACATTACTCTGCCAGACTAGTCAATATTTCTGAAAAAGCCTCCAAGAAAGCTATTCAATTAGTGGCATAAAGTTTTATGAGGCATACTGCCAACATATAGGATTAAGAAAAGTGATCCCTGCCCTGACTGGCATGGCTCAATGTTGGCCCGTATACTGAATGGTTGTGGGTTCAATTCCTGGTCAAGGACATGTACCTGGGTCGCAGGTTAGATCTCCAGCTTTGGTCAGGGCAACTGATTGATGTGTCTCTCTCACATCGTTTCTCTTTCTTTCTTTCTCTCTCCCTCCCTCCTTTTCTCTTCCCTCCATTCTTTCCAATATCTCTAAAATAATCAAAGGAAAACAATATCCTGGGATGATGATTTTAAAAAGAAGAAAAGAAAAGGAAAGAAAGGTGAGTTTTTACAGGAGGCATCCAGAGGTTGCTGTGGTAAAGGCCACCTAATCAGACCCCAGGCAGAAACAACTACTCCCTCTGGCACTGGGATAGCTTCCATCTTCTCTAAAGCACTTCGGATACCCATCACTCTTAGCACATTCTGCCAAATACATAAGTTCTAAAGAAAAAGAAAGGAGCCTGAATGAGCAATCATTTTTGCAAAAGTGGGAATTGGAGCTTGGTGACTTACCCGAGGTTACCAAGCTAGTAAGTGGCAGTATGTCCTTGGCCTGAGTTCAGAGCTCTCCCTTCAATGCTGGATAAACCAATTCACCTGCAATCTTGTCCAAATTCTCTGTGATCTGCACTTAACTGCTTTCTGCCACACTATATAACATAGCTTTAGGTCTTCACCAGTGCTTTCTCCTCACAGATAACTGTCAAACCCCTGGACTGCTGCTCTTCCAGGCCTCAATTTCTACATATCAGTTTCAATCTTGTTTTCCAGTTCTACCCAACCTAAAGCCCACTTCAGGGGGCTATTGATGTGGAGACGCTGCATTTCAGTTGCTCCCATCTATCTTAAGGAAGCTCTTGATGTCATTTTTTTCCTCTCTTGGCATTTCATTGATGGAAAGCCAGTCTTGACTTTCCTCAAAGAAGTGGGTAGACAACACATATAGGGTGTCCTCCAAAAATGTACAGACACTTTTAACAGCTGATAACTCTACTTAATTTTCACTCCTTTTCAGGTTTAACTGATTTGAAATCATGGGTGAATCCAAACTAAGCTTTGAACAAAGAAAATTTATCCTAAAGTGCCACTACTCTTTTCAACGGAGATATGTACAAGATAAAGTTAATACATATCAAATGATTGTGCACATAAATAGTGCACAAAATGATTCTTGATGTTTGCGATTCCATTGTTTCATGTTGTCAGTGGTGCCTGGACCAGAATGGTCATCGGTTTGAAAATAGGCATTAAAAAATATCATTCATTTCTATAGATTCTTTTAAATTTAAAAAATGAACTGTATATTAATAAATACTGACTTTATAATCATTTGGTGTGCATACATTTGTTGGGACAACCTGTATATCTGAATGAGAAACTATGTATATTTGATTTTAAATTTAATCCTCTTAAAAGATAGAAAAGACTTGTTTTTAAGGAGGCAAAGCTATATGTATGCAACTGTTCAGGGCAGCACTGTTTCTAACAGCAAATGTATACATGCACAGAGATCTACACAGGGAACATCCTGAATAGCCATTAAGAGGTAAAGGATACATAAATTATGTAGAAAATGAAACAACCATTAAATAGAGCAAGCAGCTCTATGTGTACTAACATGTAAAAGATGTCCATAATACATTAAGTTCAAAGACCAACTCACATAATATGTACAATATAAGCCCAACATTGTAAACACACACACATCCTCATTCTATAACCTCCACCATGGACTCCTATTTACTACTGACCACCCATAACCTAGCATAGAGTATGCATTCAACAAATATTTATAAAAGAATAAGAGGATTCATTCAACATTCAACTAATATGTGACGGCCTGATATCATTAAGTGAATGAGAGCAATAGTATGTATGCCCAAACATACTTGTATTAGCACAGAAAGTGGTATGGAAGAGTACATTTCAATGTAACAGTGGTATTTTTGGGAAAAGGGTTGGAAGAGTGTAAATACCCATTTAAATGTTTCTGCACAAAAATTTGTTTTTACAAAACGCGTGTAACCCACAATTTTTAAAACATTATAGTCACCTATTAAAATAATTATTTTCTATTATGAAACATCCTTCTGATCACATTTTTTTGACATTAATAGTAAAGTTAGCCTTATTTTCCAAGTAAATAAATACCAATAGAATAAGGCAGAAAGGTAGTTGTCACAAGCTAAATGACAAAAGGGCTCTGAACTGACTCTGGATGGTCCATAAAGACAGTGGGAAGTGTGAGCCCAGAAAAAGCTCCACACCTGTAGCCCACACTAATTATTCTGATGAGACACTGTGAAAGATCCCCAAGGAGCCCCACAATATTCTCCCAGTTACCAACCCAGGATCATTGTCCCTAGACTGACTCCTCAGACCACACAGCCCAGGCATCCATGTCCTTCCTGGCAGTGGAGGGGCCCTGTGTCCATTGGAGCTCACTCACACTCACTCATTCAAACATGCACCTATGCTCAGCCACAAGGG